CGAGGTTGCTGGTGCGGGCCTCGCAGCAGCTTCCGCCGGAAGACAGCCCCTCCCGGCCGGCCTCGCGCGGGGCACCCTGGGAGCCGCGGGGGGGTGGGGGGGGCGGTGACAGATGCCCGGCGCGCCGGGCGGGGCATCGTTGCGTCGGGTTCTGACGACACAGAGACGTGCCTGTCTTATGGCCCGGATCCCCCTAAGACTCTCTCCTCGCAGCCTTTCGCCGTTTCGCGCTCGTTGGAGAGGCCCGCCTCTTCCCCCGGGCCAAGCCACTCAGAGCCCTTCGTGCCCTCAAGCCCCGCCTCTTACGGAAGCTGAGGCGGAGAGTCAGAATCCGGAAGGAAAACAATTGGTGAGAGTAAGCTGGCCGGGACCTCCTGCAGGAGGGAGGCGGATCGGGCCAGGAGCGGCTGTGGCGGGGACACACGAGGCGGCCGGGCCGCTGCTTGGGACGATGGCGGCTGTGAACCCACGGAAATTAACCGAACCGAGAGGCAAGACGCTTAGGTGAGGAAGGCGGCTGCGGGCAGGCCGGCCTGCTCTGGGCAGGATCACTGCCTCCTACCCATTCCGGGCTGCGGATCTGGGGTAGAACTAGACTGGGAGAGAAAGGACCAGGCCTACAGGGCTGATTCTAGTTCAGAGGCCCTCCCCAGTTCTCCCAAGCCGATGTCGAGTGGGCTGTTTTGGGCCCAAGTCCCGCGCCCCCTCCAAATTCAAGCCGCCGAGCTCGTTCCTATTTGGGTGCCCCAAGCAGGTGTCTCAGTTTGCTACTGGCGGAGGCAGCGGTGTCGGGCTGTCTGAAGTTAAAGACATAACAAGGCATTCTTCTGTCAGCTCTAGAGTAGAAATCTTGTTCTTTTGATCAGCACGTACATCACGGGGTCTGCCTGATCCCGTTGTGATCTCCTGAAATCCGAAATCAGATTTAGGTAAGATCCTTTAGCGAAGGGATATAGCCTGGTCCCATGCTTGCTCTTTAGCAAAGAACAGCGCTAATCACCAACTTAGTGCAAGTCACAATGCAGGGATTTGCTGCTAATCGTCGGATCTGAGAGTGAGGGCGAGAAATCCCGACTTTTGTTCTCCATCCATTTAGAGCTGGTCCGTGGGAAAACAAAGAGCCTTGCACTAAAAGGGTTGCTTTTCCTAATCCTTTGTTGGACAGCAGGGGGAGATCTTAAACTAACGTAGCCCAGAATCTCGGGCCGAATGCCTAGAAAGGTGGTTTGTGTATTGTTTTGTTGATGTTCATAGGGAGGGGCAGGAAGTTGTTTTAAAAAGGCCAAGAATTTCAAATTGTGCTTTTTAGAACACGGACCTCTGAGAACAGGATCTGGTGAAGAAGAGATGTTTTTAGACGTCCTGCCCTTCTCTCCCACCTCTTTCAACCCCCTTGTAGCTGCTCCCATTCTCGGTTTGCAGCTGCTGCAGATCCTCTCCTCATAGTGTCCCTAGGACTCACCTAGGGATTGGTGGCTGTCTTTGGTCTCTGCAGGGTTTGTAGCTCCTGCCTGCTCTGTACTGAGCAGAATCGGGCTCTCTGGGAGTATTGCTGTAACTATTCAATTAAAGAGATCTGCAAGTGTCTTTTCCCCGGAGCCTGTGATGTGATCCATTGTTATTGAGAGCTGCTGATCTAAGTTCTGTTGCTTCCCTAGCATGAAGCCAAGGTTGAGGATGTTATCCAACTGATGACTTTTCCCAAGAGAGGGTAGACTCTTGAGAGAGATGTTGAGAACCTTGTTATTTAGGATCTTCTCTTTGGGCTCCCTGAAATGTTTGGCAGAATTTGGTTATGCTCCAGGGACCTCCTAGGAAGAAGGAAGGAAGGGAATGTGGTATTGTTATCTCTGCTATTTTTGAAATTCTCCTGTCTTGTAGTGCCGAGGCCTCTTACAAGGTAAAAACTGAACCTCCAGAATCTTTCTGGTGGTCTTAGGAGCCCTGAGGTGTGAATGGCTGGTGGAATTATTAAGTTCCTGACGACCCACCTCATCCCCACCCCTTCCCTTGCCTGCCCCAGAAAACTTTGAGCAGCTTTGCTGATGTCAGCAGCACCCATGCTGCCAGGTGTGGGCAGCTGTGGGCCTGCATGGAGGAGCCAAAGCAGGATGGAAATGTCCTGCTTCAGGACGGAAGTCAGGATGAAGAGCCTGCAGTTCAGTGCACCTCTTCCCACACCCAGGTGCAGAAACACATTTCCCACTACGATTGCAGGGGATCGTGGTGCGGCCGTTAGCGGGCCTCGGCCCGTTTGTTACCGGGATAAGGTCTTACCCTCCTTCCTCCACGACTTCCCTTTGCATCCCTTCCACAGCATCCATGTTGTGACGTGGAACGTGGCCTCTGCAGCACCTCCTCTAGACCTCAGTGATCTTCTTCAGCTCAACAAAGAGAACCTGAGTGTGGACATGTATGTCATTGGGTAGGTGTCTGCAATGCCCCCTCACCCTTCCCCATATCTGAGATAGGTAAGCCCAGCCAGTCCCAAATCGTCCCCACGGGGAACTGTGACCTGTCCTCCCTTGCTCTGGAGTCTGAAGGCTAGGAGCTTTCAGCCAGTCAGTGTCTCTTGTCCTGAGTTAGTGATGGCGAAGGGTTGGCGATCAACAGCCAGGGGAGGGAGAGATCACGGTCACGAGTACCCAAGGTTTGAAAGTGCTGAGGGCAGTATTAAATGTCCGTGGCAGAGGCAGTACCCTCTAGGCCAGGGGGAGATCCTCTGACCTGGGATGGGCAGTTTGCAGGAAATGAACTGTGGGATCATGAGCCTCCTTTCTGACACTGCCTTTGAAGACCCATGGAGCAGTTTCTTCATGGATGTGCTTTCCCCTCTGACCTTCGTCAAGGTAACTTACAAGTTCATGGGCAGTTGGGAAATGTATCTCCCCTCTCCTCACTAACCCCCAGTCTTTTGGTCTCCCACTCAGGCTTTCATGCTGTTTCCATTTATTTAAAGGCCTGAACTTCAGTTGCACCTGGCTTCCTGGTGCTCCTGTCTGCCTTGTGTCTTTCCAATGTAGCTGGAGCTGAGCTGGGACCGCGGGGGTTAGTTTAACACCTTGATATTTTTCACATTGGGAGAATCCGGGGGGGTGGAGGGGGGAGCTTATTAACACCTCAGTGCCTACCCTACCGCCAGCCTCCATCTCTACTCACATGCCCAGCCTGAAGTCCCTGAATATAATAATAACTGCTAACATGTATCGAGTGCTTACTTGGTAGTAAGCATTGTAAATAAGCTTTCCATATACATTACTTAGAAACCATAACTCTTGAAATATGGCTATTTTACAGATAAAACCAAGACTCAGAGGTCACACAGGCTATCTGGGATTTAAATCCATATCTTTCAAACTTCATAACCCATGTTTTTGATTACTATACTTTAGTGCTATATTGGTGAGCTCTGAGGCTGACAGGTATCCCAAGGCTAGCCTGCTGGTATCCGAGGGTGTCCTCTGATCATAGCGGACCTGTGCCTCAACTTCTAGGGGCCCAGAGGTTAGGAGAGGGGAGATAGATGGGGAGGAAAATAGTTCTCAGTCTGAAAGGCCAGTATTCTTTGGGGAAACTAGACCATAGGAGACTCCACAGAAAGCCTCTAGATTGCTGCATCTTCACCTTTATGTCCTGCGCAGCTGAGGGATGAAGCATCCTCCCATTCAGAGCGCCTCATGCAGTGCTTCTGGGAAATACCAGAATTCCTCTATTCCTCTCCCTGGGCGACTGGATTTCTTCAGAATTGATTCTCTTACCCCAGTTTGCCTAAAGATGCCAAGGCAACAGATGTGAGTCCTCTTGAGGGCAGAGCCAGGAGGAGGGAATACAAGTTTTGTCCTGCTGCTGAGGCTAGAAAAGGCCAACCCCCAAGCCCTTGGTCTTCTCCAGATGAAACTCAGGCCTCTTTCTACAGACGAGGAGCTAGAGCCTCTGTGAGGGCAGAACCACTACTCTCACCACCCACTCTCTTCCCAAGATTGGAGGCCTCCTTGCGCCCCAGCTAACTGGCAAGGGATTGGTAGAATGGAATGGAGCCAAGGAAATTAGCTCAGCTTGTGGCAGGGACACAACCCATTCCACCCATGCAGCGTCCCGCGTTTGGGAGGACTGCCTGAGGGGCTGGCACCCAAAGCAGCTAGACGTCCCTCCTTCCCCTAGCCAAGAATTGAGGGGAAGGGGTGAGCCCTGCTTGCAGCCTCTTCCTTTGGCAGGAGTTTGCCAATTATAGGTTGAGAAGCCTGGGCCTGAGGCCCTCTGCCTGCTCCAGAGCCCCTATCTGCCTCCCTTTAGGCCCTTCCTTAGCTCCTCCTACTTCACTTCCTCCAACCCAACTTCCCCTCTCCCGCCTTCCCCCCCCCCCCCGTGGCCCCACCCTTTCTCCCAGTCTGAGGCTTTCCTGCCTCTGCCACCCCCCCCTTCCCCACCCGTCCCTGCTGCTTCACAGAGTGGACTGGTGCCTTTGTGCTGGGTCCCAGTGGCCCAGACCTGCTCCGTGGATTAGGATTAAGCTTGACAGCCCTTCCTGGATCTTTATCGGTTCCTTAGTCCGGTCCATTATCCTGTGCTTGTGAATGGGAGAGACCAAGACTGGGGCTGGAGGGTGGGGCTGAGGACACATCTGTAGCAACCTCTACCCAGCCCTAGGTTTCCACGCCTCCCTCACTCGTTTTTGGGTTTGGGGTTCTCCCTGCTTTGACTCCTCCACTGTGCCAAAGCTCCTGGCCTGCGGCATCAAGTTTCATAATTCCTGGAAGGCCCCAGTACACACTCCCCACCCGGGGATTTCCTCCTTGGCCTCTGCACCTCATGCTCCGGAAACAGCTACTCGGGTGGTAGGTGTAGACAGCCTGAAGCTGAGTGAGATGGTCACTGGCTAGGGCCCTTTCCCACCCCACCTCAAAGAGAGCAAGGATTTTGGTGATCCCAGACCTCTAATGCTGTTATCCAAGTAGTCCTACTGGTTCCTTAGTCTCCTTGAGCCTCAGCTTTCTATCTGCAGAGCAGGGACATTGGTGCAGAGGTTAAATGCGGTATGAAGGGTTTGTGTAGGTGGTGGCCGTTCTCCCCGGCCCGTAAACACATGTCCACTGTGCTTGCTCTCGTTGCCTTTGTGGAAACGCAACGAACCACAGGGTATAATTATTTTGTGGGGCATTTTCTTAATTTTCCATTGACCTATAATGTTTGCAAAATTAAGTGTATTTTTTATGGATTTTTATGTGTATATGCACCAATATTATCACCTGTCAAGTCAACAAGTCAAGATACAGAATACGTTTAGCACCCTAGAAGGCTCTCTCATGTTCTTTACCTGAATTTACTTTCTTTTTTTTTTAAGTAGGCTCCACGCCCAACGTGAGGCTTGAACTCACAATCCTGAGATCAAGGTCACATGCTCTACCGACTGAGTCATCCAGGCACCCCTCCCTGAATTGACTTATATGTATTTTTTAATTTCGTAAAATGGTTATAAGAGGGAGGGAGGGAGACAAAGGGGCAGAGAGAAAGAATCAAGCAAGCTCCGTGCTGTCAGCGTAGAGACTGACTCAGGGCTTGATCTCACAACTGGTGAGATCATGACCTGAGCCAAAATTAAGAGTCATATGATTAAGTGACTGGAGCAGTCCCCTCCCCCTAAATTTACTTTTATTTATTTATGTATTAATGTATGTATGTATGTATTTATTTTTAAATGTTTATTTTTGAATGTGCATGTGCATGCTCACGGGGGAGGGGCAGAGAGAGGGGGACAGAGGATCCAAAAGAGGCTCTGTGCTGACAGCAGCAATCCCAGTGCGAGGCTCGAACTTACAAACCATAAGATCATAACGTGAGCCGAGGTCAGATGCTTAACTGACCAAGCCACCCTGCCACCCAATTTACTTTTAAAAACTTTAAATCAGGGGCACATGGCTGGTTCAATCAGAAGAGCCTGCGACTCTTGATCTCAGGGTCATGAGTTCAAGCCCCATTTTGGGTGTAGATTACTTAAAAAAAAAAAAAAAAAAAATCCATGGGATGCCTGGGTGGCTCCGTCGGTTGAGCGTCCGACTTCGGCTCAGGTCATGATCTTGCAGTTTGTGAGTTTGAGCCCCGCGTCAGGCTCTGTGCTGACAGCTCAGAGCCTGGAGCCTACTTCAGATTCTGTCTCCCTCTCTCTCTGCCCTTCCCCTGCTCATGCTCTGTCTCTCAATAATAAATGTTAAAAATAAAAAATAAATCCCTAAACCAGAAAATAGCAGCTACCAGTTAATCCTTCCAGCATCTGTGAGATAGATGAGATAGATTCCTGCTTTATCAATGATAAAATAGACTGAGACTTGGCCCAGTATCAAATACTCTTGGGCTTTGAACCCAGATCTGGCTAACTTCAAAGCCACTGCCCTTAGCCACTATCCTGCATTGTGCCATTCCTCTCTGAGGCCCTGGCCCACAGGGGTAGCAGCCCAGAGTGCCCAAAGGACCCACAGAGCATGGGTGAGAGGAGCCCCTGGGTTCCATGGGACTGGGACTGAAGAGTCAGTGCCCTCCTGATGGCAGGGTACCCTGGCAGCCTTGTCTTCCCTGCCTTCCACCCAAGCCCAAGAACAGAAACTGGAACTTGCTTAGTTCCCAGAATGCATCATTTGGCAGCTAAGGGGAGTAAGACTCAAGCTGAGATACCATTGACCTCAGGACTGGGCAGGGTCGTGCTCAGCCAGTGCAGGGAAATGAATGACCATTGTCCCCCCTGTGCTGTAGGTCTCCAGTGTCCGCATGCAGGGGCTCCTCTTACTCTTCTTTGCCAAGCATCAGCATTTGCCCTTTGTCCAGATCCTCTCTACTAAATCCACCCCCACTGGCCTCTTCGGGTACTGGGTAAGGACCGAGCTGTGGTCTGAGTTGTGAGCTGGGAGGCCTCCTGCCACTGGGCCGGGGAGGGCTGGGTTCTTTAGAGGTGAGCAAATAAAAGAGGGGGTGAAATGAATCTTAGCATTCTTCCAGGCCAGTGCCCTACATATCTGCTCTCCTGCCCCTGGGAGCTTAGCACCCCTGAGACCTCAGACTGGGTGAGCTGGGCTCTTAGATGGAGACGTCGCTCCAGGGAGCTGAGTGTCTGGCCCTGCAATGGGAAAGGGGAGGTGATTCTCACCCAGAGCGACTTCCTACCCTTCTGCCCACCTGTTCCACCAGGGGAACAAAGGGGGCATCAACATCTGCCTGAAGCTTTATGGCTACTATGTCAGCATCATCAACTGCCACCTCCCCCCCCACATGGCCAACAATGACCAGCGGCTGCAGCACTTTGACCGGATCCTGGAGATGCAAAATTTTGAGGGACAGAACATCCCCAACATCCTGGACCATGAGTGAGCATGTGCTTGCGAACTGCTGCCCCTGCGGTCAGCCCAGGCTAGCATCCTCCTCAGGCAGCTTTGCTCCCCTCCCCCCCTTTCCCAGCCTCTTCCCTAACGCTCCATCTACTCTCCCATCCAGCTTTGCCTCCCTGGCCCGCCTAGGAGCTCTAGACACTTCTGAACACCCCAGATTGAGAAGGCCATGGTTCCTTGAGGTCACCCACAGGGAGCTGGTTCTCAGCCTTGCCTGGTGGCCAGTTGAGGGGGGAGTGGGAGGCCTAGAGCCTGCTCTGTATTTGCTACTTGCCCCCAGGGGCTGGCCTCTTTGGAGGACAAGGAAGTGGCCGTCAGAACAGCCCAGTAGGACCCGTGCCACGTCGTTACCATTACTGGCTCCTCTCCCAGCATCTGGCACCTCACCTGCCCCTCGAGCTCTGTGCCAGAGGAGTGAGTGGCCCCGGGGTCCATTGCTCCTGTCTTCTCTTACCTCATCATAGCCCTCAGCTGCCTTCTTTTCCCTCTGCAGCCTCATTCTCTGGTTTGGAGACATGAACTTTCGGATCGAGGACTTTGGGCTGCATTTTGTTCGGGAATCCATAAAAAATCGGTGCTACAGTGACCTGTGGGAGAAGGATCAGGTATCAAATGAAGGAAGGGTCCAGAGGGGTGATCTGAGCCCATTGTGGAGGCCTAATATCAAATGTGGGGAGTACTGCTCAGGTTCCTGAGCACCTGTCCTCCATTCCCAAGCCTCTGAAGTCCCCCCTTTGCACCCAGGGGCCTGGTCTTCGCCTGGAGGAGCTGCCGGGTGTGAAATAAGTTGGGGAACGAGAAGGGCTTCCGCCTGCCGTGGCCCCGCACCAGACACTGACTCTCCTATACCCTGTTGTCATTCCCATCCCCAGGCTTGCTTGCCTTCTGGAGGATGAGATACTACCCCTTTGGGGGCACCCTGGCTACCCAAGTACACTGTGATACATGTCTGCTAGTGGCTCCCAAACAGATGCAATTCAAAGCCTGCTCCCTAGAGTCCAAGGACTAGGAAATGGCAGGCATCTGCCTCTCGCGGGACTAGGGATCTCGCGTGATGTTTACAAAGGGATCCAGCTGCTTTCCTGGGGGTGGAGTGGGGATGGGGTGCTGAGGCTGCCACCGGGGCGGTGGTGAGGAAGGGAAGACGTGTTGCTGGACTCTTGCCTAGCGTGCCAGCACGTGCTCATCCCTTGAATGGAGTGTGTGCTGGGCCACTGGGTCAGGACTCCTAGGAGATGGGACTGTTCTTTCTCTCTAGCTCAGCATTGCCAAGAAACACGACCCGCTGCTCCGGGAGTTCCAGGAGGGCCCCCTGCTCTTCCCTCCCACCTACAAGTTTGATAAGAACTCCAACAACTACGATACCAGGTGAGGGGGCTCCACCAGGAGAGGGTCAGCCTGCCGCAGATTTGGAATTAGCCTGTGAGGAGGAAGTGCGGGGCCAGGAGGCCCGGGAAGTCGGGTTGTACGGGCCCTAGTGGCAGAGGGAGCTGCCTCACAGGAGAAGTGTTAGAAAGCGGGAACAGATCCAGCCAGCCACCACCTCGGGAATGGCACCTCCCACCCACCTCATGAGGCGCTGACCACGGGAGCTGCCCCAGATTGTCCTCGGAGAGCATGGAGGTGCTGACGAGGCTGCAGGGTGGGGGTGGGGGCAGGGCAGGTAGGGCAGGAGGAAGGGGGGAAGCAGCTCATTCCTCCCTTGGGAGGGACCGTATTTCAGCATTCTGGGCACCCTTGTCCACACTTCCCAGACCTTCTGGTCCCTCCCAGACAGGGGGACAGAAATGTCAGCTCAGCCAGTTACTGGTATGAAGTGTCCCTGCCCCAGCTGTGGGTGAATCAGGTACTATTTAGGAAGATGAAATAGTAGTTGTCGGGGCGGGGAGGAGTTTATGGGAAACAGTATAGAGACGGTGCAGCTGGCAGTCAGAGGTACAGCTCTGCCCCTCGCCGGCTGCGTGACCTTGGACAGGTGTTTAAGCCTCAGTCTTGTCATCTATAAAATGGGGGTGCTAACAGTACCCTCCTCATGGGTTGAGGATTGAACGAGACCTTGCATGTGCTTAGCCCGGTGCCTGGCACCTGGTAAGCACGGTGACGACTGCTGTTGTTAGATTCGTGCCTTCAGGTGGTAGTTTTACCAGAAATGTTTCTTTTTTTTAACGGTTTTTTTTTTTTGGGACAGAGAGAGACAGAGCATGAACGGGGGAGGGGCAGAGAGAGAGGGAGACACAGAATCGGAAACAGGCTCCAGGCTCCGAGCCATCAGCCCAGAGCCTGACGCGGGGCTCGAACTCACGGACCGCGAGATCGTGACCTGGCTAAAGTCGGACGCTTAACCGACTGCGCCACCCAGGCACCCCTATTTATTTATTTTTGAGACAGGGAGAGACAGAGCGTGAACAGGGGAGGGTCAGAGAGAGGGAGACACAGAATCTGAAACAGGCTCCAGGCTCTGAGCTGTCAGCACAGAGCCCGACGCGGGGCTCGAACTCACGGACCGCGAGATCATGACCTGAGCCGAAGTCGGCCGCTTAACCAACTGAGCCACCCAGGCGCCCCCAGAAACGTTTCTAAGAAGCCAAGAAAGGGTCAGGTAACCACCAAAACTTTAAGCTCAGGCCAAGGGTCGAAAGCAGCTCCAGCATGGAGTCCCTGGCCCAGTTTGGCAAGGATTCTCATCTCTTTGAAGAAAAAGAATAGGGGCACCGGGCTGGCTCCATCGGTGGAGCGTACAACACTTGACCCCAGGGTTGTGAGTTCGAGCCCCACGTTGAGCGAGGAGACTACTTAAAGATCAAATGTTAAAAAAAGAAGAGAAAAAGAAGAACCCCTCACGTGTTCTGGGGGTTTCATTTCCCCTGGAGCAGCGGCTTCATTTATTCCTCACAGCGGGGCTGCCTTATGAGGGAGGCGGGAAGTGCCTCCAGGGCAGCGCCTCTGGAACTTAGGGAGTGAACAGGTATCTCCCCAGCCAGGCCAGGGAGACAGGTAGAACCGACGGCCCTGTGCCGGAAGGGGTATGGCAGAGCCACAGCGGCCCCTCCACAGAACGGGGAGAGGGTGAGCCATTTTAGGAGTGTGGAGCAAGACAGGGTGGGGTCATGGCCTGGGCAATGTACACAAGAAGAGGCCATGAACACTGGAAACAGAGTCCAGCCTGGGCAACAGAACAGGCTGGAAAAGAGGTAAGAGGGCAGGTTCTGGCTGGCCAGCTGGCCCGGGGCCACAGTGGCACGGAGAACGCCAGTCTCCGCAGCCATCCATTGGAAATGAGAGCTATCATGGAAATTGGGAGGCCTCGGTGGGACAGGCCCAAGCCTTGGGGCCTGGGACCCTCTGCCAGTTGACTTTAAATCCTCACTTGGCAGCGGGAAGAGAGCTGCTGGCAGGCCATGTGGCCAGGTGTCCCTCTGTCCCCACCCCGAGGTATGGTAGGGAAACCACCAGGAGACTAGGAATTATTACAGCTGAGTCTAGGCTGTGGTCAGCAGGGACTCAGATTGGCTAGAGAGGCCCTGAGGTGTTAAAGGACTTCAGAGGACTTCCCCAGGAAGCTCAGCCACTGGTGGCAGAGTTGGGGCTGAGACCTGACTCTGGACTCTGGTGGCCCATGATGCTTCCCTCTAGCCCGCAGTACCTCCGCAATCACAGCCGGTCTTGCCAGCAGCCGCAGAAAGGGCGGGATTGGGATAGCAAAGCCTTGCTAAGAAGGAAGCAGGTACTTCCACATGATAGATACAACCCACATTGTGGTCGCCATTACTGAGCACTTGCCGTGTGTCTGTGTAACCAGACTGTTACTCATCCTTGAAAACTCAGTTCAGGCATCACGTCTGTTAGAAGGCCTTCCTTGACCCTCCCGCATCCCACCGAGAGTCCTCTCCTGCCGGCATGCCGCCTGAAAGCCCTGCACACATCATGCTTTCGGTATTGTTCTCAAGACACGGTGTGCTTTTCTTGCTCTACTCTGAATGCCTGAAGAGAGCTGATTTATGACCGTTTCTGGTATGTAGCATAGTGCCTGGCGTATGTTTGAATCAGGAGCCTGAGAGGACAAAAGGAAGAAAGATAAGTTATTTAAGGAGCAGCCAGCCTAGTAGAGAGACCCACCCATAGCAAGAGATCCAAATAAACACTCTCAAGTCCAAGAGTTGGCCAGTAAAAGGTTCTAGAGCTCTGTAAGTGCCGAAGGAAGTTGAGCGAATGGTAAGGAGACAGACAGCTGAAGCCAGGAGGAGTCAGTCAGAGCTGCTGTCAAGGAAGCAGCAGACTTTGGCAGAAAGAAGGGCAGACGTTCCGGTCAATCAGCAGCACCGATGAGAGGCACCTTGAGAAGAGGCTGACCAGCCATACAAAGTGGCTGCGAGTGAGTTGTATACAGGGCATAGTACGCACACGGCTCTGCCCAGCCACAGCAGCGTCCCTGAGCCAAGATGTAATGAGAAACGAGGTCAGCTCCATTACAGGGGAGGGTGAAAGGGCCCAGAGCGGGAAATCCTGTTAAAGTCAGGGATTGCGATAGGATTTTGTTACAGTCAACACGAGCCTGGTCAACCTCTCCACTAGGCGATGAGCAGAGGTTGTTATGCTCAATCTAGTCAAAACTCATGTCCAGAGTTCAGTGAGACACTTAGAAGCCATCTATAGGGAGCGGAAGGGAAAAGTCCATTTCTGACCTAGAAATGGAACACTTCCCTACTTTAGGGTCAGTAAATTGGCTCAATTTTCTAGCTCCTAAAGAGAAATTTGCAGAGTTACTCGGTTTTAATTTTTCAAAAATTAGGACACGGTAATATCCAGAAGCATTTCTTATACTCAGTCACACCATTCAGCCAAAAAGCAAAAGCGAGGTCCAGTTCTATACGGCATGCTCTGAGACAGTTCTGGCTGCTGGGAATTGGCCACAGGGGAGTGCCGTGGAAGGAGTGTGGACTTCGTAGACCTGGGCAAACGTCCGACTTCTGCCTGGACAGGGTGACCTCTGAACTTCAGGGTCTTGTAGAAGGAGGAAAATGCGCCCTGTGACATTCTTCCAGTGTTGAGAGGGTTAGAACAGTCCGTGAGACACCTGTCACGGTGTCTAATGCACAGAAGGACCCCATGTTTTGCTCTTGTTATTTTTAGAAATGGAGAACTGGGGGAATTTAATTTGTGCACACTCAACTTGCTTCCTGTCTTTTGTTTGTCAAACAAGCTCTTTGAGAACCTTGTGAATCCCATTTTTCAGGTCCCCAGTTGCCTGGCATATAATAAGCGCTCAGTAAATCTTTGTTGAAAGACTGAACAATACAGGTGCCCAGTGATAAGCCTGGGCCAGGCCATGGAAAAGGAAGAAAGGGAGACAGGCTGTGGTCAGGTCTTGGGGAAGATCTTGAAGTCACCATGATAGGGAAGTTGAGGAGGGGGAACACTTTGAAAGGAAGAGTGGTGTATTTATGTGGCGCATCACCAAGTATAAGCATTGCTGGGTACTGAATGTAGGTTCAGTAGGTTCTGAGATTCTGTTTACAGTCTCTGGGATGGAAATAGCACATTCTGGTGTGCTCTGACCAGTCCTCAGAAGAGTGAAAAGTTGAAACAACCCCAGGAGCCCCAAACAGATGTGCTTCAGCCAGTTAGCACTTTTTGACCACTCCCTTGACGCACATTAATTTATTTGGTCCTCACAATGTCTCTTTGAAGTAAGTACTGTTATCGCCCCATCTTAGAGTTGAAGAAACTGAGGCTTGGAGTAGTGAAGTCACTTGCCCAAGGGCACATAGCTTTCTCTCTCTCTCTCTTTTTTAAACTAAATTACCAGTTAATTATAAAAAGATGTAATTCAGGAACAGGCAGATGAAAGAGATGCGTAGGGCAAGGTATGGGGAGAGGGTGAGGAGCTTCCATGCCCTCTGAGCCCTCCACGCTCTTCAAATCACATGTTCACCAACCAGAACCATGTAGCTCTTAAATAACAGAGCAGGACCTTCCCCCAACTCCTGTTGTCTGATTCCAGAGTCAGAGTTTACCAGCAGGACACCATTCTGCCTCTGTTGCTGGAAGACTATTGCTGTTGAATTGACAACAGTACGTCGGAAATGTTCATTTAAAACAGTAAAAGGGGGCGGGGGGGCGGTGCCTGAGTTGCTCAGTTGGTTGAGCGACCGACTCTTGATTTCAGCTCGGGTCATGACCCGATTCATGAGATCAAGCCCAGCATGAGGCTCTGCGCTGACTGCAGAACCTGCTTGAGATTCTCTCTCTCTCTCTCTCTCTCTCTCTCTCTCTCTCACCCTCCACTCAAAAAAAAATAAACTTAAAAATAAATTAATCAATTAAAAACGGGATGAAACAGAAGACAAAAATAGCATTTCAAACTGGTTATCAACATCTGAAACCGTATACGTTAGGATTAGATGATCATTTTTGAGGAGAGAGATTGAGTTTGGGGTTTTAGTTAGTTTGAGTTCCATACACCATTGAGTACCTACTATGTGCCAGGCTCTGTACTAATGCTGAGAATACACAGGGGACTCAAGAGCCAGTCCTTGCCTTCCGAGCTCACGCTAAGCGACGTGCTGACTGGGAAACAAAACGGCCGTGCTGTATAACATAATTAGGGAAGCACCGATGTAAAATGCTTTGGAAGCAAAAAGGAGAGCTCAAAGCTGGCTTTATGACAAAGACAGCTTTGGAATTGGGCCTCTCCCTGTGAAGAAGTGTGTTCCGGGCAGCAAAAACCGCAAGAGTAAAGGTCCTGAGGCTTAAGAGTCACTGTGGCAGGCGGGTCTGGGACAGTGGTGGGAGACAAGGTAGGACAGGGGTGTGAGACTCCTGAGCGCCTTGAAAGCCATACTTGGGGACTTGAGCTTTATTTTGGAGGCATGAAGACTCCTTAAAGGTTTTAAAATGGGGGGGGGGGACG